GACGGCGCGCGGGATCCCTGCTTGGGAACTCTGAATTGAGGCCCCGGAAAAGCAGTGTAACTTGTGTAGCATGCCCACAAATGACACGCCCCAGAAATTCTACGACTACTTCCAACAACCCAAGAAAGACTCCACCACCTTCTCTGTCCTATCCATCTATCTCCAGCCCAGCCACGCCCCCTGGGGGCTCCTCTTCTCAGCTACCATCACCCCTAAACTCCCGTCCATCCTAGAGAACCCCCGGCCTTCCAGGCAGGTCCCAGTCGCAATGCCTAGTCCCACTCTCTGACCTTGCAGGCCTGGTACCTTCCTCCATCCTTTACAAATGATTACTGAGCCCTCCTGAGCAACCTGGGGCCCAGCGAACAGAAGAGAAAACAGAGATTCAGGGACTTGGGGTGAATTCTTCGTGGTCACATTGCTCATTAGTGACAAATGAGTCTGTAACTGGTATCTGCCCTCCTCCCAGTAATTTTTCCACACCATATCCCACAGCTCCGGGCGCATGGACAGTCTCAGGAGGATGGGGAACTGAGAGATAGAGGCATGTGTTTCTCCCCAGCAGCACCCCGCTTCACTTCTCCATAGTGATAACCCCTGTCGACTCCACCTTGAATTCCTCTTTCAGACCGACTCATGATTTCTCCCGCTTCCTCAAGAGATGTATCTTCCTGGGCTTTCTTGGCTCCTGGTCCCAACTTCTGCACCCCTCCGCCGCTCCAGACTTTCCCTGCTCAGACTCACAACCGGAGTAAGGGGTCCTAATTGAAGTTCTAGTCCACCACCCAGGGCCTCACCATCTCAGCTGCACGCACTGACTCTGGGCTTCCGCCTCCTTGGCCTCCAGCGACACCAACGCTGCCGCTGCAGCCACCCGGGCGCTGGATGTTGACGCGTTACCATAGCAACCAAGAGCCCGCGCGGTCACTGGCCGGGCCCCGCCCTTCGGAGAGGAGCGGAGCAGCACCCCTCCTGCTGATCCTTCCCAAGGCCGGAGCAGGACGCCGTCTACTCCCCACACTTCACCTTGAGACTTTGGGTCCAAGGCTAGGATGAGCCCAGGGGACCTTACTGCCAGATCGTCCGTTTTTATTCAGTCACCCCGCCTAGGTTCCCATGGTTACCGCCGCTTCGTTTAGTGTCAAGCCAAACCCTGATGAGCATTTTGTCTTCAGAGAACCAAACAGGACCAGATAAAACAAGTTTCACCACAAGAGAGAGTCTGGTCAGACAGAAGAAAGAACTTCCTACCTTGAGCATATGTATCTAGTCTCCATATGTCTCTAGTCTCCTTGAAATGTGGGCCTCGCTCCTCCAACCCAGAATTTTAAAATAAAAATGTATTAGACCGTCTGACTAAAAATCAGCGAAACTGGCTTTTAGGGAACTGCCTTTAAAGCAGCTACCCAGATTATGTGTATGCACTGTGCTGTAAGGGTCTAAGTGTTGTATGATTTTCTCAATTTAGTTTGCACCCATGTCTCCCCATCTACTGGGACAAAATGGAGCACACACACATGCAGCCTGCCTGTCTCAACCCCACAAAGCCTTCCCGCCCTACAAAGTACATGCTTCCGTCCTTCAGTATTTATTATCTGTAGTATTAAGTTAAATTTGGAGGGGGGGGTGAGGGGCCAGCCCCCACCGCTACTACCCATGGGTTCAGTAAGCACAATTGTACGGTTGAGATATATAAGTATTATATTATAGTCATCGAGAGCATGAGAGATATTACAATAATGCAGTCAGACACGTTACATGGCAGCATTGCTCACCTCAGCCCAGCTTGGTGGTCCACGTGGAGAGAGGGGGAAGGGAAGGAGGGCAAGGGAACAAGGGAGAGAGGACTGGAGAGGAGAGGGGGGAGAGAGGGGATCCAGAGAGGTCAGAGAGCTCTATATTGCTGACCCATGCCTATATACCTTTTGGGGGCATGCCAGCCCACTAATTACAGGTAGAGACATACTTCACAGGAAGGGGTTACACTATGGGCTACACAGTAATGAGGGGGTAGTCCAGGGACATACACGCAACAGGAAGAGGAGGGACTGGGGTATACATGTGACAAGATGGATGGATCCCAGATTCAGGAAGGCAGCTCAACCTTGACCTGTTCCCTGGGTCTCCATAGGAACCATTATCAGTAGGGTGTAAACTCCGCCTACTGGAGCCGTCCATTGTCCCCAGGGGCAGGGAGCAGGGCCCACCCCAGTTTGGCAACTGATCACCCTCAGGGGGGAATGCCTGCGCATCTGACCTCCCCCCACCATTATCTGCACTCTGGGTCACAAAGAAGTGTTGGCTCTATGACTCTGTGAACTACTAGCCCATTCCCCAAACTCTTGTCAGCCCTCACCTCACAAGCCACCATTCCGAAGCTTGATCCAACTTCACTTTCATATTTCAAAGCCACTCACCACATCCTATGACATACTTCAAGCCGTAGGTGGCTTGGCTGCAGAGCTAAGAACGTTGAGGGTTGTTGACAAGCGCGTGGGAGGGATGTTTTTTAACCAAAAACCAAACTCGCTGCCATCAAGCGGATGCCAACTCATAGCAACCCTATAGGACAGGGCAGAAGTAGCCCTGTGGGTTTCCAAGACTCTAACTCTGGCTTGTAATTCACGTATCATACAATCCAATAGTGCAGTCACACCAAGAAGAGGTGTGCAATCATCCTCACAATCAGTTTTGGAACATTTTGTCATTCTTGTACTCATCGTTATTAGCTCCCCATTTCTCCTCACCCCCAGCCTCCCCTGCCATACCTCCAAGGAACCTTTAATCCAGTTACCATCTCTATAGATTTCATATACAGAAAAATATTAAAACTGAAAAATAACAAAACAGATAAAAAGCTCAATTGAAAAGAAGGAGAAAAGATTAAAAGCTGGGACAAATTTAAATGGATCATAAGGGAGATCAAATGACAGGGTGCTAAATGTTAACCTAACTGCATGCATCTGCAACAATCCACTTTCCAAGGCACTCTGCATGTTAGCCAGGCTACTGGCGTCCCTGGTTCGAGGTCAGAGGAGAATCACCAGGGGCTTCATCCATGTACATTTCCCCTTCACTTTTAATTTTTAACAGCTTGAAAATGGATCTTAAGGTAGATCGTATGACTTTACAATGCTTTCTGTGTTAGTCCGGGTGGACGAGAGAAACAAATTCATGGACACATATGTGTATAAGAAAGAGGGTTATATATTCAAATGGCGATTTCTACCCCTGGGCTCAAAATATGCATTAATCACATTCATGTTGGCCATTTCACACAGGAATAACCAAAGACTACAATCAAACAAAATAATCAAAACTTTAACTTCCCATATTTTTCCAGAAGACACCTGAGGACACAGTGGGACTTTATCTGCCCTCTGGCTAGCCAAAGAACAACTACCATGAGGTCAAACAAACATCTGCTCTCCATCTTTATGATTTGTCTCTCCAGTACCCTACTCTCAGTACCATATTGTGTTAGTCTGGGTAGACTAGAGAAACAAGTTCATAGACATTCATATGTATATGAGAAAGAGGGTTATATACAAGAGCAATTGAATATTGAGAAAATGTCCCAGCCCAGTCCAGATCAAGCCCATAAGTCCGATATTAGCCCAGATGACCGATACCAATCTATAAAGTCCTCTTCAGACTCACAAAACACGTGCACTGACGCCAAGTGCAGGATGATCTCAGGCCAGTGGGTATAAAGTCTTTAGATCTGGTGGCATTGTAAGCATCTCTGCTCTGGCAGGGGTCTCCACATGGCTTCTCCAGCTCCCAGGGCTGCATCAGGATAGGTCCATGTGGCTTCTCCTCAGGGACGTCTCACAGGGAGTCACCATTGTCAGTAGATAGTCTCCAAGGGAGTGAACAGAGAGAGAGAAGTGTTTCCCACCTCCAAGGAGGAAAAACAATAGTTGCCAGAATTCTCAGGAGAAGGCCATGCCCACACAGAGGCCTCATTGGCTATGACCCGATTGACAGACTAGACTCTACCCCTTCACTCTTAATCCTCTCAAGTCCCAAATGGACACCAGATAATTTAACTACCACAGTGTCTGTCTGATAACGTGGCTGTTCACATCTCTCAACCATGATCAGAGGAAATTCACTGGAGGCTTAATTCACGTATGGATTTTGGCTTTCCACTGTCATCCATACCCTTTTTCAAACCAGGTTTGCACAACATAACCTCTGATATCATTCCCTCCTTTAGATTTGGGTTATTTTATTTACAGTCCATAGATCACTCGAGCTGGTGTGCTTCTTCATCATATGACCTTCAGGGATGTGAGTAAATAACCTGACCCAGGGGTACAGGTATCCCAGAATAAGTTTGTTCACCAGTACCAGAAGCCCTCGTGACAGAATTCATCTTAAAGAAGCTTTCACATGTACACCTAATTAATATGACTCAGTCTAAATGGGCCACATCCTTGAGTATCCCTACCTACTAATAAATAAATATAATGTTCTCTCCTTCCCCCCACCCCCACCCACCAAAAAAATCTTTATAAAACCTATCAAAGCTTTTGCGTGTGGGGATAGGGATAAGAGCCCTCTCTATCTCTGTCTGCAAACTCTTCTCCAAATAAGCCTTTGTTTCTGTGGAAAGCCTTCACGCACTCAACTCACTACAACGGAGTCTGTTTCTACGCATAGCAACCCTACCGGACAGGGTAGACTGCCCTGTGTCTGAGAATGTCACTCTTTACAGAACACTGGCTGGTAGTTTCGAACTGATCTTGTGGTTAGCAGCCCAAAGCATAACCCACTAAACCACCAGGGCTCCTTAATCTCCCTTAGTGATCACAGTCAGCAGGAGGTGAGATCCTTCGCTTAATGTCCGGGGAAACAGTGTGTGTGGTAGTTACATAATCTGGTGTCAATGTCAGGATGAAGAATGTAGAGGTAGTCTAGCCTGTCATTAGAATACAGTCAATGAGGCCTCTGTGTGGGCATAGCCTTCTCCTGAGGATTCTGGGAACTCCTGTATTCCTCCTTGGAGGTGGGAGACACACTCTCTCTGCTCACTTCCTTTGAGATATTCCTGAGGAAAAGCCACATAGACCTACCCTGATGCAGCCCTGGGAGCTAGAGAAGCCATGTGGAGACCCCTGCCAGTGCTGAGATGCTTACAACGCCACTGGATTCACAATGCTTCCCACCTGTGATCTACCTCTATTTGGCATCACTGCATGTGCTTCCTGAGTCTGAAGAGGAATTTATAGATTAGTATTGGACATGTGGGCTAATATCGGACTTATGGACTTGATCTGGGATGGGCTGGGATGTTTTCTCAATAGTCTCAATATTCAATTGCTCTTGTATATAAAGCTCTTTCCTATACACATATGAGTGTCTATGGATTTGGTTCTCTAGTCTACCCGGACTAACACACTTGGTGATAGCTTTGCCAGTCTACTCTGTCAATTACAGGGGTCCAGAGAGGAAGCGTCGCCCATATTCTAGATATGAATATATACTACAGTACGTAACACCAAAAGCGTTTGCAGAAAACAAGGTTTGAGATACATAAAGCCAGAAGTCAGTCTGTGAAAAAGTTCTTCCAACCATCAGTCATGTAAAATTCTATGTGAGGATTCAATGTTAGGCTATCATTTTCCCTAACACACTGGGCAACATAAGAACAATGATATGTTAAGGACCGTAGTTATTTTCAAAGAGTCAGAAGGCAAACATAAACAAGATGCAAAAAATTTACTCAAAAATCTGGTGCAATTTGCATATGCCACTGCATTTTGTAATGGCTCTTGGAAGGTGTGAATGAACAAGTGAAATATAACAGACAT